GATCTTGTCGACCTTTGTCTGTTTCTCTCTCTCTCTTCACATATATACATACATATTTATGTATATGGTGGGCGCGTCACCCTCGTGGCCTGCACCGCCCCCCCTAGTGTATCGGCTACAAAGGCCGCAGAGACATGCGCTAATATAGCACTTTCGTAGCTGAAAGTGTGTGATCCTGCTGATCGCGGGCATTTGCGCGGACGGGGTCAGCGTGGTCAAGTAGAAATATTACCAGGAGTTGCACTAGCCGATACAGTACCGCAATGTTGAAGCAAGACTACGTCACTTTGGGCCTGAATTAGCTCACGTGCAGCATAAGGCCGGCACACTGGAATTATCGCCATAACTCCAGATAACGGCGCACATACTCTTATGGGAAAGTCGTGCTAGGTACTCCGTAAACGACTGTGTAGGCTGAAAATGCGATCACGTGGGATCTGCGCTAACTGATTCGAAAAAATGCTTCTTCAGCAGCTGAAATACGTCTCGCTGGTGCGGTGCATTGACTCCAATAGTAAATAAACTTCAGAAGCTGCAGACCCTTGGGCTTGTATAACACCGTTGTGTAGCTGTGATTGCCGATCGTGCAAGGCTGCCGGACAGCGTTATCGCAAGATTCATGGATCACAGCAAAGTGCCGCACACAGACCAAATGCGCAGATCCCCCGTGTTCATTCCAGTGAAAGTGCCCGATTCCGAAGACTGGACGGCGTGCATGTACGAAGCGGGTGTGCCGCCGACTTTCCGCACAATTGTCTAAATACAGCAAGTAAGTTCGAAAGGAAAATACATGTGGGTCTGCCGTTCGCCTCTTCGGCGGACAAGGTATCTGCGTTTGTGAATCGCATTCTTTCAGGACGCTAGAAAATTTGCTTTAAATATCGGTTGCACGTGACAAAATCGCATGATTAAGGACACATTCGCTGATGTAACAGATATTATCAGGGAACGCGTTTGCTGAAGCAGTAGACTATTTCCAGAATACACATTATACCGTGGCCCAGACCTCGAGCACTAGCCATAAAGGCACCCCGTATTCAAGCCCGCTGAAGCCGTCTCCGTCAATTTCCAGCGCGGCTGGCGTCTCCCTACGAGTTTGTCGTGGCGCGTGTTTTCTGGACAACCTGACACTTGAAGGCGGTATGTTGGTGTCGGATTGATATGCACAATTTCAGGACTTGCGTCATCTCTACCCGTGGCACCTCCTGCTAACGACTTGCCGCACGTCCTGAAGTTCGCAAAATCATGCAGAAGTGTAGACTGTGCATGAGACTTAAGAAAAGTGCACCATTTTCTTGATCGCGAGCGTTGCCGCTGATGCGGCTGAGGCGCTCGTGTGCAGTAGTTGTTAGAGACTGCAATGGTTGATACAAAGCTGTGGAGTCCGCAGGGTATACGATGTACGGCGAAGTGCGGCGTCACAGGCCAGTCAGGTCAATTCACGTCATCCTTGCCACCCCGCGAGCTCCCGCGCACATGCTGCGGAAACTGGAGTGCTGCATATCCTTTACATACGTGGAAACCCAGGCGGTACGTTCTAATCCGTTTGTGTAGACGTGCTTGTTGGTCCCCTAGCAGAGGAAGCACGTCGCAGTGCTGTCTTTGGCTTACGCCACCGCAACCTCGTGCGCCACTCTAGTGTGTGCACGTGATTGTAACTGCAAGTGTCTGAGACCGCTGTGCGCAAGCATTACCGCACATGAGGTTGGCACACCTATGCACAAAGCACGTGAAGATCAGCAGCAGCTGAGACAATAGTACACCTTTGTCCTCTAAAAAAATCTTTGCAGCACCGTAGTCCTCGAGCATAGGACGCCTGCATACAATTCCGGCGCAGGCAAATCCACCTTGTCGCTTCTCAGACCGGCACGAGGAAAGGCGTAAACGTGGCGCGTTTAATACCGTGTGAACACCCTCGGCAATGCAGAAAGTGAGCTAGATTACGTCTATCTATAAAACGCTTAGTTGTGCTTCTTCACCGGGCAAAACATGTTGTCAGGTGGCCTGCAGTCTAGCAGTGGGTGGTCCTTGAGATCGGCGAAGTCTAGCGCCGGCGCAGTAGTCTCCTGGAACTGTCGCCGGTAATGAACAATTCTTGTGGTCGCAAACGTTCGAGGGAAGGCGGCTGACGTACACATATGATACTCTGCTGCATGCCTGCAACTGCTGACTCAGGGGTTTACCAGTCTTCGCAAGATACACGAGTCAAAACAGGGTGGAGTTGCGGCGTTAGATATCCCGGAAAAACTCAGAAATTTCAAGGTCGTCTCTGTCGCTCTGCAGTCGTGCTCGCACACAGATATACACTCTTCACGACGGTGTAAATGAAGGAAGTAAGCTTCTTTGAAACTATGCAAATCGGACATTTGTTATACAGCAAGATAGGCGCTCTCTTCTGCGATGAATCTGTTTTCAAAGCTGCAAACTGCGGTGCAGGCAAAACACCTGCATGGAGGTGTAACCGAAAGCGTACGCTTCTGCAAATGGAGACCATCTCCGCGTATTCCGCTAGCATCAGCATCTACAGGTGGCGCTAAAAACGGCACCGGCTGGCACATGAGCACAGCGCTCTTCGCGAGTTTTACTTAAGGGAGGGTAAACCGCAAGCGTTCGACGCACACGAATCGTACAACTGAAGGTAGTCGAACGCGCGTCAAGGCCTGTGGGCTCATCGTACGTTGCTCGTATGTGTGGGACGACAGGCGGGGAGACGAGCGGCTGCGTCTACTTTGTGTGCCACACAGAAGACATGCCTACATTGCACGCGTGATGTGGACGGCGGTTCAACCCCTCTGCCCTCAGCTCAACAGCTGGCCTGCGTAATTGACTGACCTTGTGTGCATACGCTCGTGACAGTGGACGGGAGCATCCATTTTGAAACGGTGTAAATAAAGGTAGTAAGATTCGCGAATCTGTATGCACAGGTCTGCAGTGTGGTTCTTCTGCGTGTGAGGCCCGTGCCGCTGGTGACTTGCACATACTCCGGCAGGGACTCAGGCTGCAAACTCTTGGCCAGGCCTACCGTTCACAGGATTGTGACTGGAAACATTTGACGCTGCTGATCGCAACATTTACGCCAGTATGGTGGGCGTGTCCGTGTACTGGTATCATCTGCGAGCGCAACAGCCGACAATGCTAGGGCCTTCTTCGTACGATGCAGAGCGTGCACCGGGGTGGGCGTCAGAGACCAGACGCGCAGATCCAGCTCAAGGGCTTTTAACGCATGCCTGTCACCAACAAAGTGTGGCGCATACGCATACGCAAAGAGCTGGCAGCTAGTCTCCGGGCGAATGCGATAATTAAGACGGTACGTGTTTGTCAGTCGTTCTCCACATATCTGCATTGTGCTATTTCTGGTGCGTGGGCACGTTCCGCCGCTGCTGTACGCTGCTTCCAATATGATGACATTTTCTTTATGCTGCGAATTCTCGCGCCGGCACAGTGACTGGAAAAGTGTAATTTTGCTCGCCGCGGATCCATGCGGACGAACTGACATATATGTTTAGAAAAATGACCGGAAAACGCCGAAGCCGATACGGTGCTTCAACTTGATTCACCAGACTTTTGTTCACTCTGGCCAAGAACTTCAGGCGTTATGCTCGCGGGTATCACGTGAGCGGGACAGTTCAGATCATCTTTGTCACGCAACGCTGTAGCGCGCGAAGGCACATTATGTCGGGTCGCCGCACTCTTTGTAAACAACGGCGTAAAACGGAGAGGCGGGTTCTCCTCATTCTATGTATGCACAGAGTCAAATTCTGGTTTCGCAGCCAGTAAGGCGCTCTGCGGCATTTATGTCACTCACTAACGGGATCTATTATGATTGCCTCGTTAGCCACAGAGCCACGCGCCGGTATAACATCTGCGCCGAGCGTGATTCACGACGTTTGACTCGGCTGCCCGCGAATTCGCCGCGACAGCGGCTGACGTCCCCAAGGCTGAATTTCGTCAAAATGCACTACTTGCTACCTGACTACTACATCACACACAGTCGACAGTAAGATGGAGCGATAGAGACGTCCCACAACAACTCAAGTGCGTACAAGTCATCTCTGCCGTCCGCAGACTGGCCCGCGCAAACAGATACAGGACTGCTCATTTGAACACAGGGCGCTGCTGACGCGTCCCAGGAATGCATAATACCGTAACGCGGGACCTGATGCGTGGTCACCGCTTAGCTCGCAAAATAGACAGTCGACAGTGACGTGGAGCTCCAGTATTAGGTCTGCAGGGACACCTTAGATGCCTTCAAGTCGGTCCATTCGAGCGGTGAACCAGAGCGCCTAAACAAACGAGCATTCGTCGGTTGCGAACATCGCCTCCGTATCCTCGTACAGGTATTTTCAGAATGCAGAGCCTGATACACGAGTACACGTCAATCCTCATGATCTACAGTCAACAGTAAGGCGGACCTTCAGCAACAGACGCGCAGAAGTAGGCCGTTGCGCCCACCAGCATCTGTCACTCTGCCCAGCGACGCGCATACGCTGATAGGAATTCGTGGACGGCGAACGTATCCGCAGGTGCGGCTGGCGTATTCCGTGACACGTATCATCGGAATGCTGGACATGGTACCTGAATACAGCGTGATTCGCCTGATTGAACAGTCGGCAGTAAGGTGGACCTCGACCACCGCATGCACAAGGGCTTAATAACAGATAAAAATGGTTTGCTGCATGCCCCACAAGCGCTTTTTTTATCACGGCAGTACTACGAAATCTCTACGAACGTACCGGACATTTGCTGTTTTAGCAAATGGGGCACGTCCCTTGGCGCAGTGCGGCGAGTGCAAACCCTGGTCAGTCCTGGACGCTGCAAATTCTTCTACTGATGTAGAATCTTCATCTAGTTACGATTGAAACTGTATCGGTCTCTTGCGAACGCGGACGTCTCAGCAGCTGACGCATGCATGGACAGATATCACCTGGAAGCACAGTACATAGATCAGTACTACAGCTGTGTTCACAGTCCCTGTGGTCTACAGGGCACGGCCCAGGTGCACAGGCTCCATGTACGCAGTTTCACCTGAATCATCGGGGCTATCAATCGACTAATTGGCTGACCTTCGCACATGAGGTGGACGTGCTCGTGCCCCCTGAAGAACAGCGTGAACAAAACAGCGGGGTAGTTCTGTTTTTACACAGGCACCTTTGATATTTGTTTTAGCGGGCTGATAGCCACGTCCCGCGGGTGTGCTGCAGTTGTGCCACCAATGACTTGGCTCGGAGATTCGCAGAACCATGAGCTGCCGAAGTAGGTCCACTTACTCTCGCTTTCAGGTGAATAGAGCTACCGATCGCGAGGAAGTTCACGGAGGCAACAGACCCCCACACACCGTTCTTAGGAAGCAAAGCATCTGATACAATACTACAGCTTTACCCACAGATGCCCTATTCTACGCGTGGCCGAGACTACAAGCTTCAGACACAACGGTACCACCTACTCAGGTCCGTTCAGCTCGTGTCCGTCGCCACACATGCAAACGCACGAGCGCACATGGAAGCGGCACACTACACACCATTGAAACAACAATGAAATCTAAGGGAGTGAGCTCGCTACAATCCGTGCAGATTTTTTTAATCAGCAGGTAGAGCACATCCCGCTGCTCGGGCGCACTTACCCTGCAAAGAATATCTTTTTGAAACGCAAAAACGCGCACCCGTACAGCGCTCATATGGACCTACGGCCTAACATGCATAATTCTGCTGAGCATATACTATCACGTGGGCTGCGTCTCAGGTGTTGTTACAACGTCAGACCCCAGTGAATAGTACAGCACCATACCCGTACTAGATTCGGAACCCTCTAGGCAGCCACACAGATCCGCAGCCCGTCAATCGCGGATCTCAGATTACGAAGCCTACATACGCGGTCTACAGTCCTGTGGCCTGACTCGCCATAGGCACCGATACCACGCAGGTCCATTCAGCTACTCTCTGTTCTTCCGGTTCATGTCCGCATAGACATATGTAACGGCGCGGAGTGTATTCACTGCACCGCGTTGGAAACAAAGAAGGTGAGTCTTTTCTTCTGTAGACATACGAGGTGCCCCTCGTCAGCATGGAGGGGGCACGCCGCGGGCGTCGTGTTGTGACTCAATCAATGAATCAGTCCTGGAAGCTGCAAACCGTTGCCCGGTCATGACAACGCTGTGCACTGGTGATCGTAACCGGGCGAGTGTACTGGCCACAGAGGTCTGCGCGGACTGGCTGACAAAGACATGTACAATTATCAGGGACCGAAGCGCGTGACACGGTACTACAGCTTAACCAAGTGGTGGATATTGAGCTTAGGTGTAGTGCTCGAGAAATAAAGATGCAGGCTCGAGGTACTCTGATTCGTGCCACTCATCCCTAGCGCGTCACATACCGGCTGGCAGGCACAGGTGAATTCAGCGCGCTGCGCACTCTTTTCAAAATGGCGTACATTAGAGGGCCACGTGTTCCTGATACGTGGGAACCTGAAAATTACTTTTCAGCACGTAAGCCGAGTTTCGCTGGAGGCCTGCACATAGGCCAACAGTATGTCAGGTATGGAAGTCGCAGAAGACTCCGCCAGTATCACGCATGCATGTCAACGTAGTAATAAGTGAAGAAGTCTCTGATTGTGAACATTCTCTCATATGCACCTGGCATTACGGGTACCCTAGATACAGTGGAAGAGTTCAATAGCTGCGACAGTACTACAACACTCAACCAAAAAACTGTACTCTTCCGCACGCGGCCTCAGACATGCAGTTAGCAGGCGCACACGTCCGTCCAAGCCGTCTTTGTCGCCCCGAAAGCCGACGCGCGTACACAGGTGATACTGACGTTCTTTAGGCTGCTTGAAAAATGCTGTACATCAAGGCGGTAAGCTCTCCTGGGTACCAACTATTGCGATGCTAGCCCAACATGCAAAGATCCGAGATTTGCTTTTCCTCCAGATATGGCACGTCGAGCGGCGCCGCGTGCTGACTCCATCAGTGTGTCCGCTTGAAGCGGCGGTATTGCGCTTACGTATGACCCGTGCGAGAGACGCTCCCCAAGCATTGACACAATCTAAGGCGGTGAGTTTCTTGAGCCTCCCCGTACCAGTTTCATTTTGGGTTTTTCAGCAGCCGAGGCACGATTTGCTTGCGGGGTGCTCTGACCACGCGCTCACCCCCGGTCAAACCGCTGAAATCCGTGAAAATACGCGCCGATATGTATGTACGATTGGCATTGACTGCGTCAACTTACTGAAAGCGGACTTCTGCGCGGATGCAACTGCCAACCAGACCGACAGAAATGAAGCACCACAATAGCTCGTCTAGCGGTCAGCGTCTTTCACTCGGCTTATAGACGGCGCCGCGATGCATCTCAAGAAAGAGCGACATAACCTCCATGAAGGCGGGCTCGTTCACAGCATCTTTATCGCCACACAAAAGGGCCGGCACACGCAGACGACGGCGGCGCGCAGCAACAGTGTTACCAACGGTGTAAACGAAGGCGGTAGGTTCTCCTGAGCCGATCTGATGGGCCCAAGATTTGTGTTTCCAGCATGTACGGCGCGCCGTGCTGGTGCCATGTGCTCACTTGACCAGTGCATCGGCTTCGGGCGGCGGGATATTGCGTACGCGTATCGCTCGTATAAATTGTTGATTGCGACGGCATGAGCCGAAAGACGATGGAACGGAGCTTCCTTTCTTCCGCAGGCAATGCACATCGACCACACCCCCACGGCGGCCTGTACTGCCTGGAGCGAAGAATCCATTGTGGCCGTTTAACACGTGCATAGTAGTTACCTCGACAGGACGTGTGTAATTGTACTTGTGCTGCACATTGGCGCGTATTCCGCTGATATGTACGTGTACAGGTGCCACTGCGCTGGCAGGGTGCGTTCAATACTACAGCTATACCCCCACGGCATATGTGTTATCGTGCAGCCGACGTGAACCTCTAGACATGCTAGTGTCGGGCAGTCAGACGCATCCACGCCGCCTCGGTCGCTCCACAAACGAACGCATATACACGGGTGAGACGCCGTCCTGCAAACTCTGCGCACGATGGCGTAAATTGAGGCGGTAAGTGTTTTGTGGCGCCTGCGTATATATCTGAGATCTGCTCATTCTGCGGATGAAGCACGCCCCGATGGCGATCTGTACTTATGACATCAGAGCACTATTTTTTAAGGCCGAAAAGTTCTAAGCCGTGCACTAGCTGCAGACGGCTGTGCGCAGCGCTAGCGCGGTTGCATCTGCCGCAGTCGTGTAAGACGTCGTCAAGCATCGCGACGGTCGGCATAGTACGGCTCTCTTCACAAGAGGTATGTTTTATGAGGGCGTGGGCGTCGTGCTCCACATACCGCGCGACCACGTAGTCAGCCCCTTCTATCCCGTCTCTGTTACACCCCCCGACAGGAGGCCTTTTGCGCACCCTCTGGTCGACGGTGTATATGTAGGGAGTAAGCCTTATTCTGTCTGCAGAGATCTGAGATGTGCTTCTCTTACAGTTGTGACACGTCGAGCCGGTGTCGTGCGCTGACTATGCCACTGAAGCGGCTGTAGGGTCCAGAACATCGCGTCCCGCATTCACGTGTCCGTGGTTGTGATGGCAGCAGTCTACTTTCACATAGGGCACACCAAAGCTTTGTTTTCACTGGCAGTGAGACACGTACCGCCTGTGGCCTGTACTTACGGCGCCGAAAGATTGTTTTCGAATGTACCAAAGACGTGCTTCTGTTAGTTTTCCTCCTGGCTGTTTGAATTGGGGATATCGGCCGTCTTGCGGGCACAGTAGCGTAATTGGAAGGGCACTACCCTGGTTGCACAATTGCAGTGGATGTATACATGTACAAACATTATAAAGGGCCGCGGTACTTGGCATAGTTACAGCTCTAGTCACAAGATATATACTGTGCGGGACCGTAGGCCGGGAACGTGAGACACGCTGGTGCCGCGCTAGTCGGTCCGTTCACAGCGTCGTTGTCATTCCACAAGAAGACGCGTACACATATGGGGGACTGGCATGCTGCACCCCCTCTGCATGCCCTCTTCACGACGGCGTTAAATGAGGCGGTAAGTTTTTTGGGCCCCATTGTACTGAACTGTGTTCTGTTTTCTCATGCGGCCGAGCTGTCACATGCATGTGCAGACATCACCAAGCGCCGCAGCTACTGAAGATACTAGGCCTCTATGCAAAAGCTTTCAATTCTGCTGGGGCGCAGACTGGGAGCGTCAGACATGCCGGTACGACGTAGTCGTGGCCGTTCGAAGATGCTTGTAACTCTACACACAGAAGCACCTACATATGTAAAACTGGCGCTTTGCACGCTTTCTCGACGTTGGTGCAACTCAAGGCGGTACGGTCCCCCTAATCTCTCTGTGTCGATCGGACACTTGCGTCTTTATCCGTTCCGGCAGGTCCAGCAGATATAAGTGCACTGACATCGTAAACACGCGACCGCTGATACTACACTTGTACTCACACGATACAGGTCATACTGAGGCGTGGACGACGGGCGTCAGACATGTCGGGACCACGTAGCTGGGGTTTGTTAGGACCACCCCTGTCCCTCCTGAGACCGACGCGCGTACGCAAGTGAGCCGGATTTCTGCACGCCGTCTGAAAAATGGCGCAAATCAAGGGAGTAAGCTTTCTTGGCCCTCATGGGGTAAACCTGAAAATTGCCTCCGGCGGGCAGGGCATGCAGAGCTGGTTCCGCGTGCGTGCTCCATCATTGAGCCGACTTTAAACCAGATAACATCGGGTCCGTGCAACACTTGTATGTACTTGGGATTGCAACGGTAGGAATTCACAGGAGGCAGCCACATGCTTTGTTCCTTTCACCTTGCCATAATACGTGCATAGCACGCTCAGTAGAAGCGTATAGCTCCGCTGATTTTAAGGTAGCACGGTTGAACTTCAAGGGGTTCGGGCGGGTCCGGACGGCATATACGTGTACAGCTGTCATCATGCACGGCAGTAGCTGGTACGGTAGTAAGGCGCCATTAACAGAAAACATACTCTACTCGGGGGCGGGGACCGTCGACGACAAGCGGTGGAAATGCTGGTACCACATAGTCAGGCTCATCGAACCGCCTCTGTCTCTCCACAAAGTGACGCGAGTATGTAGGTGGAACTGGCATTCTGCCCGCGGCGTAAACGATGGTGTGAATTGAGGCGGTAAGTGTCTTGTGGCCTTATAGCGCCTTCAGCGGAAGCGTATGGCTCCGCTGATTCCAAAGATGCGCGCGGGTCTGGATGACATATATGCGTACAGCTGTAATCAAGCGCAGCAGTAGCTGGTACGGTACTACGGATCTACTCACAATATACATTTCCTGCCTGGGGGCGGAGGCCCCAGACATCAAGCGTTGGACATGGTGGTACCACGTAGTCAGGCCCGTTCGTACCGTCTTTCCCACTCCACAAGTGGAACTGGCGTTCTGCCCACCGTCTGAACGACGGTGTGAATTAAGGCGGTAAGCGTCTCGTGGCTTCTGTGTATGGATGTGACAGTTGCTTCTTGCCGGCGGCGTCTGCTTATGCCGCCAAGGATTCAGTCTCGAACCTTCAACATCTAAAGCCGATACGGCACGTGTATGGTACGCCGGTCGGAAGTCCGTGAATCTGTTAATTCCGAACAGCCGCGCGGGTTCAGCTGATGTAGACATGCATAGACGCCGTCAAACACCTCAGTACCTGGTACAGTACTACAGCTCTGCCCTAACAATACAGGTATGCTCTCAAGGGCGCAGCAGCTGAGCATCAGGTATAGTGGCACCACGCAGTCAGGCCGGCCTAAGCCACTAATGTCACAACGCAAACTGGAGAGCAAAAACATGTGGAGCCGGCCCTGTGCAGGCGCTTCAAGCAACGGTCCAAATTACGCGGGTAGGGTCTCCTGCACAGCAGCTGCTGCCGTGCTGGGCCCGTGTGCTAGGATCTGATATCTGCTTTCCACGGGTGTGTGGCACGACCGGCTGACCTCTCCGCTTACTTCACCAATGTATCGACGCCGGGCCACAGAGTAGCGCGTCCACGCACCACGTGTGTTTGACTGTGTTGACATGTTGTTACCAAGTAGTCAGGTCTGCTCAAACCGTGTCTGTCACTCCGCGAAAAGAGGAGCAAGCAGAGGCATATCCGGCGTTTTGCAGGGTCATTGAACAACGACGTATACACAGGGAGTAAGTCTCTTTCGACTCTAAGTGCGAATCTCAGAGTTGCTTTTCCAGCAGGGAGGGCCCGCTGCGCTGATGTTGCTTGGTGACTCCACTGATGGATCGGCTGCGCGCAGCCGAGTATTGCGTCCGTGATTAGCTCGAATGTGATTGTGAATGCGGAGACGTTAATCTGCAGGGTGTGGCCCTGAGCCGTGTGTCTTCCATAGAGTTAACGTGCGGCCAGCACTTATGTCATATATGTATCATTTCTGGAGGCAGCAAAATCTCATGTCGGTGCAATACATGGATAGTACTTCGATCCGAATGGTACGATGCTGCAGACGCCGACCGAGCGCGCAAATTCCGTTGACATATTCGCGTAGAGGACAACGTGGCTCTGCTGTATTTGGTACTATAATAAAGGCCTATTCACACGATATATATGCTCGTGGGTCGTGGAGGCCCAGAGTTACACAGGCTGGTACGTGGTAGTCAGATCCATTCCAGCAGCCACTGTCGACACGCTGTCGCGCGCGCATACGTTAAACTGGCGCGCTGAAGGCGCCCTGAGCGACGATGCAAATGAAGGCGGTAAGCGGCTTTTCATCTCCGCGTATAGACCTGTCATCTGTTCCTTCAGCAGCTGATGCACGTTCGACAGCGGCATGTACCAACGTCACGGAAGAGTTCACTTTTGCAGGACGCAGGATCTTCAGCCGGCATGGTTTTGAACTAGTAGCGCGCAACCCCACACGCGGGCGAATTCAGCAGAGTCTCACGTGCACGGGGATCACTGAGCGCCGCAGTTGCTGCTACAGCGATGCAGCTTTATTCACAGAATATATTTCCTGCCGGAGCCTTGACGCCCAGCCTTAGAAGGACTGGTACAATGTTACCAAGTCAGTTCCAATGAGCTCCTTCACTTCACAAACCTCCACGGATGCATACATGAAAGCGGCGTCCCGGGCGGTCTCTGAATGGTGGTGGAAATCCAAGCGGTAAGTTTGTTTCGGGTCTGCCTCTAAACGTTAGGTTTGCTTCTTCGGCAAGTAGAGCACGCGGCAACGGCGGCGTGCACTTGCGCTCCCGGAAAATATTTTGAAAGCCGCAGAACCTCAAACAGGTGCGCGGCAGTTCGTGTACAGCTGTATGAAAGAACTGCCCCGGCGCACAGGAATCGTCTCGCAGTGCGTGATAGAATACTACAGCTTCACACACAATATATACGCGCTACGCATGCGTTGGCGCCCGGGAAGACAGGCTGCTGCAAGGTAGTCAGGTCTCCTCGCTGGCGAATGGTGCAAATCAAGGTGGTAAGTGTTTCCTGGCCGCCGCGCGTAGATCTGATACCTGCTTCCTCAGAGGGTCAAGCACGTTCAACCGCGGCCTTCGCTTCTGCCGCAGAAAAACCGTTTTTGACCGCTGTGCAATCTTAAGCAGGTGTCGTACGCGTCTGCCGCTTTGACAGGAGGTGTATAACTCAGGTGACGTATACGCCTGCAGACATCTTCACGCCGCAGTAGTCGGCGCAATAGAACAGCTCTATTTGAAACAGTATGTTTTACCCGAGCATGTGGACGAGGGGCGTTACACCTGCTGGTACAATGTAGTCAGGTCGCTCAAATCCTCTACGTCACTTAGTAGACCGCGGCGCCTACCTCGTGAGAACTGACTTTCTGCACGTTTCCCAGCAATGGTATATTTCAAGGGAGGAAGCCTTCAATTAGACCTCTTATAGAAGCGTGAATCACGTTTCCGCCGGTTCCATCGGGGCTCTTTGCCTCTTGTATAGAACTGTGCATTACGTTTCCAGCGGGCGCAGCCTGTGCGAGCCGGGGCCCCGCGCTGACTTGCTTAATGGATACGCGCGGGGGCTGCAGAACGCCGGGCCCGTATATCAGCCATACGTGATTCTGATCTTCCATGTGGCTTCACAGAATGCAGAACTATGCGCAGTTTTCTCCGCAGTCAAGACAGCCCCCAAGGCGACCCTTACTTTGGCCACCAAGACGCCATTCTTCACGACCGCAAAACGTTGCGCCGGTGACACAAGTGCATTTTAGCTGAGGTAGAAGTTTACATGTCTGCCAGTCGCAAAGATTTGCACGCAGTCGGCTGATAAGAATACTACGGCGCTACGCAAAACAGGGATATTTTGCCGTGGAGTGATCCTCGAGCCTCACATGCGCTGGCACCACGTATTCATGCCAGTATACAACGTCCTTGTCAGTGTGCAAACCGGGGCTCATTCAGAATGAACAACATGCTGCCTCACGCTCTCTGTGCAACGTTGGACACTAAGGCGGTAAGCTTTCCTGCAGAATAATTTGCTTTTTTTCAGCAGACTGCCCGGGCCCGCCGCCATCCTGCGCTGACATTACTAATAAGTGGACGACCGCGAAAGTCCCAGGAGCGTCGGCGTTGCGTCACTCGTTTGTCCTATTGCCTTTATCAACCGCTGGACGACGATTGTGATATTGTTCGCAACTGTATCACTCAATAAGGGCGCCTACCTTGGCGCATGCAGCTGACATATGCGTGTAGAAATTCGAAAGGCCGCAATAACTTATACCCTGCTAAAGCGCTCTTCAAATAAGCTAGGAGCACAGAGCTGAGAAACGCATGACGTAGCTGCGCGGCTGCCATGCAGACAGGCACACTTGAATCGTGTCTGTCGCTCCGCAAACTGGATTTCATACAGGCATGGAAATGGCGTGCGGGTGCACATTCTTCCAGCTGCCGACTAGAGAAAGAGAGCACAATTCTTGCAGGTGTACGAATGCGCAGCTTGCGTCGGTGCCACCTAAGCGACGTCACGAAGATGGCCTCCACTGACGCATGTAGTGAACGCTTTCCTGATGGCCGAGACATCATGCGCCGGTAGGACTTCCTAACGTGAGTCTGATTGCAACTGGGCAAGTCTGTTGTTGCAAAGAACGCGGTCGAGGCACTCTAAGAGATAGGCAGCACCAGAAAAAGCAAACGCGAGGGCTTATGCGACAACCCACCTCTACACATACTAATAGATTCTACTGGGACGTAGATGTGGTGAATCGGATATGCAGGCGTCACCTATCCAGGTCCCCTTAAAAAGACACCTGTAACCCGACGAGTCGCCGTGCACACGTGCTTGCGGTCGATGTGGGTCACCCTCTCTGAACGATGATGCGAACTAAGGCGGTAAGTCGCCGAAGAACCATCGGTATAGACCTTGGTTTGCGTCTTCGTCAGATACGACTCGCCGAGCTCGTGCCTTGTGCTGGCTCTACCATCCAACCGGCTTTTGAACGCGGAACACTTCGAGCCTCACCTGCATGTCATGGTCGTTGCAACGCAGCAGTTAACAAAAAGCAAGCGCAGGCTCTCTTTCGTCCGCTGCTGAGGCACCGCCCTAGGATGGTTGTGCTATGATCGCTAGAACGTCGTTTTCGAAGGCCGCAAACACCTTAACGCCAAGCCGTGCGTGGGAATCCAGCTGAACGTCTAGACTTCCGCTCATCCCGCACACTAACGCGCATTCAGCTGACATATACGTGTACACACACCATCGAGCGTTGTAATACTTGAGACCACACTACATCCGCCTACACATGATATAGATTCTGTAGCGGGCCGTGACTTGAACTTCTGCAGTCACACATGCTGGGACCCCCTAGTCACGTCCTTTCAGAGCGCTCCTCTCGCTCAACAAACCGACGCGCATACATACGCGAAATTGGCCACCGGCCCTCTCTCTGACCAAGGTTAAGAAATTAACATTGCTGCCCTCTATGCATGAACGTCAGAGTCCCCTCTTCAGCCAGTGAAGCAACGCGATCTGCTGCCGGGTGTTGACTTCACGAATGAATAGGCTCTGGGCCTACGGACATTGCATCGCTGTTTAGGTCACGTGCAGTAGGTCTCGCAACGGTACCCCCCCACACGCGGCAGACTTATACTTTGCTTTTTCCGAAGGTAAAACACGTCTGGAGCGGTGGCCCGCACCTGAGTCGCCAGAGAGTAATTTACGAAAGCCTGACGACCTTAAGCTGGTATAACACGTGGACGATACATCATTAGAAACTGTGTTGTTCCGCTGACCCCGAATATCGGCGCCGATCCGTATACAGCTGCAGGCATCGTCGGACCGCTGCTACAATTCTGCACCTCTCCTCGTGATATATATCCCATCGTGGGGTCGAACGTCGGGCGTTAAGCATACCGGTACTATGTAGTCAGGTCTGTTTCGATCGTCCGTGTCATTCAAAAGGTGAAGCCTGTACACACGTGCTTCGTGCCTTCTGCGCGACCTCCGAACGATGGTGCTTGTAAGGCGGTAAGGCGTGTCTGGTATCAACTGCTACCGTGCTGGGTCTACCTCTACAGATCTGAGATGGGCCTTTCACTCGCGGGGCATCGAGCCAGTGCCACGTGGCGACTGCGCCGACGAAGCCCTTCTTGGGCGCAAAATAGTGCGTACACATATCACTACGTGTACGTCCTTGGTGGCAACGACATACTTGTCCATTCAGGCATTGGGGTACCACGTATTCAAACCCTTCCCACTGCCTCAGTCAGTCCAGAAACAGACGAGTGTACATACCTGAGACTGGCCCTCTGCACGGCTCCCGAACGGAGGCGTGTATTAGGGAGGTACGCCTTCCTGAGTACCAGCAGCTGCAATAATGAGCTTACCAGTGAAAGTGCAGGACTTGCCGTCCCAGTACGCGCGGATTGGCGACCTGTGCCGTGCGGCAGACTCACCACAGAAACGCTGTGGGATGCAGACTATTGCATACGTGCACACAAACTTGTATCTGCTTGCGACCGCAACGCGGTCGCGTGGAGGTGGTTCTCCAATTAGATATGCTGGTACGACGTACTCAGAACCGTTTACGCCGCCTCAGTCTCTCCACAAACACACGCGTGTGCATACGTGAAACTGGCGTTCTGCACGCTCTCTACACTATTGCGTACATGAAGGCGGTAAGCTCTACTGGGTGAAAACGAATTCGGTCTTGAATCTCTGGGTGAGGGTCTTGAGTTCGCCTTGCGCCGGGTACGGCGCCCCGAGCTGGGGGCGCGCTTACCCCCCCCAATGAGTAGACAGTGGGCCGCGAAATATTGCGTCCGCGTATCTCTTGCATGTGGTTGCGATCGCAACGCTATGAGTCTACATTACGGCAGACAGAAAGATGGGATCTGACGCAAGTAAGGCACGTCTCGGCGGATGCATGTACTTCTGTCGCCTATGACTCCTTCTTGAGAAGCGTCAACGCGGCGTGATAAGCGCATATTACTTTGATTTGACACGTTCAAGGAGTGTACAGGCACTATCGAGCACCGCAATTACTGGTACAGCCTACTGCTGCATTCACCGAACCTATACTTTGCCGAGTCGTGAACGGCGAGCTTTAGGTAGGCCCGCGCCACGTAGTCAGACCTGTTTGAACAGGCTTAAAACATGACGGGTACGCCCAAGCAAATGGAACGTTTGCACGCTTTATGAGCCGCGGCCGATATGAAGAGCTAGGCGTTTTTGCCCTCTCTGTAAAGATCTGGAATTTTGCTTTTTCGCCGTTTTCACGATGCCGTGCTAATGCAATTGTGCGCGGCCCGGCAATACCTAACACAGTACCTCCCTTGTATTCACAACTGATATATTCTACTAAGGCGTCGACGACGCCCGTCGGGCGTCCGGAACACGTACTCAGGTCTGTGTAGACCATCTCAGTTCCTTCTCAAACTGACGCGCACCCGCGAACCTCGCTTTCTACACGCGCTCTGGACCACGGGGCACATTCAGGGAGTAAGTCTTTTCTCGCCTCTCTGCATCAGTCTGTGATTGGCCTCTTCGTCAAAGTCGGCAACTCGAGCACACACATAAGTGTATGGGCATCATCACGGGCTGGGGCGTCGAGCGCGAGACACAGGCAGGGTCGTTCACATCGGCTGCGTTAACCCACAACCTGACGCATTCACAGGCGCGACACTCGCGTACTACACGCTCACCGAACTATTGTGTCTCTTCAGGGACCAAGGTTCTTCGGATCTTTCCGTAACAACCTAGGATCCGCTTCTTCAGCAAATAGTTCACTGCCCGCGGAGGGGACCCACTGATTCCTCCGATGAGGTGGCGATGAAGGTCGCAAGAGCGTGCGCGTGTGTGATTGCGGCTGCAACTCTAGCAACCCACTTAAGACGGACGTTTGCGCCGATGCAGCCGACATATTGGTGTACAATCACGAAACACCTCTACAGCGGATGCCGTACTTCTCCTTTATTCACAAAATATATGTCTGCAACGGCGTAAGGCTCTTGAACTGTCGCACGAGGTTCTTGACCAACTTCCCCGCTCATGTCGTCCCTACCTCCACGGATTGGCTGGGATACAAGCACGAAGGTGGCATGCAACAGACTGTCCAAACAACGGTGAACACCAAGCCGATATGTTCTTTTCAGGCCCCCCTGGGTCGTGGGCCCCGCGAGTCGAGCGTACAGGTGCCCAGAGGCCAGATCCCTTCGGACCCTCTCTGGCTCCCCACAACCCGATGCGCACACATACGTCTGATTGACATGCTGCACGCCCTACGGCGACCGGTGTAGCTTCAGGCAGTAAGTTTTCCGGGGGCTTGCTGCATAGATCAGGGACTTTCTTCTGCACCATATACGGGTGCTCGAACTGCGTGCCGACCCTGCGCGCAAATCGGTCTTGAGCCGCCTCTGCGAGCCGATTGTATCTAGTCGTGATACCAGCGGCATCAGTCTACCATGTTTCATGTGACGGGTAGAGTTACAGCGGAGGCCCTGCCGAGGACTGAGGTGCGCGGGACGCACGTATCCACGTGCATGTAAAATATGCCTATCATTTCGCTGTGGGACTGACGCATACACGCGAAGTCTCGGTGCCGTACACTGCCTTGACAACTATCTAGACTCAGAAGTAGGTCTGCCGGATATTCTAACACCACGGCTTGCTTTCTTAGCACTTAGGCGCCGCCAGAACGGCTGCATGACCCTGCAGTTGCCCGCACGGGTTTCGGCACCGCGTGTAAATGCAACTGAAGGTGCATCTTTTTGCTGGCGGCGAACACTTGAGCGGATCCGGGCACGGGCGGGAGGGCCTTCAAATCCGCCAACGAACATTTTCGGGGACGGCAGCGTTTGTTTCGATACCGTTACTCGCAGCCGACGTACTCCAGAATTGGTGGTACGTCTTCGGCGATGGGCGGGGAGGCGTCACTCGCGTTCTGGTTGATCATCCCTCACAGTTCAGATACTTATGCGCCTACACACACGAAATCCGCGTGCTGCCTCCATCCGAGGCAGCCGTGCAGATAGACAGAAACACGTTATCTCATAGCTGCGGAATTCTGAGCGAATTCGCACAAGCGCGGCATGCGCGGCCAATCGGCTTCAGGCGCTACCAGACTCCTGCGGAAATTTCTGCACGGAACCGCGGGGACAACGTTCGCGCGGGTAGCGCCCTGAAAAAGAAATGCGCAGGAGTCACGTGTTAGCAACAGCTTACACACCGCTAGGATGGCCAAGGTGGCACACCGTTTGCGTTAGGCTAGACCTGGAATGTTGCGGACACTGGACACCACGCATCTCCTTCCCTCTAGAACGGGTGCACACATGGGTGGACAGGGCTTGGTGCTTACACATAAAGGAACCTCAGAGCGTGGGTCTCCGACCAGCGACGTAGACAACCGCGAATTCGCTGCGTCAGCATAGCAGGCTGCTCCCGCTGGTGGCGGGCGCTTACGGCACCTAGGAAGCAGGTTTGAATGCCGCAGAATCCTTGCGCGTTTAGAACATTTGCAGCGAGATGGGATCGAACGTGCTAAGGCTGGTGGCGGCGAACAGTTCTGCGCAACGCTTTGTACAGATAGCATGGAGCACCGCAAGAGGCTTCAGAACACTACAAGCTTGACTCTCCTTCAGTACAGTCTGGCGGCGTTGTTGACGCCAAGCACCAAACGCGCAGCTAATACTCGTCCCCGCTTTCTGTGTCAGCCGCCAGACAGGCCGCACGCACACGTCTGAACGTGGCATGCTGCATACTTTTCAAACGAGTACGTGAACTAAGGAGGTAAGTCTCGTGGCCCTGTACATATACAGCTTCATGCTGCGTCTGTAAAGGGCGACGCGTGCCCCACATGATGACGCGCGCTCCACGTAACCAAAAACTCGCTCCAAGCCGGCCGCCAAACCCTTCCGCTGGTAGGGATCTGCCTGGAGACGGCACGGCTTGTGTGTGGCCTTGGTGGGCGCAGCCAGTCTTGCAGAGGGGGCTGACATACCGACGTAGAAACGTCCACAATGACTGCACCAACTGGCGTCATAGTACAGGCTTGATCTGCTTCATGTAAAGTCTCCTGTCGTGCCGCTCTCACGACTGGACGTCGGGCATATGTGAGACCAGCCAAACCACGTTTGTCAGCCTACAAGCTGGCCCAGCTACACACCTGATGGCCTGCTGCGTACCCGATAAACGCCTGCGGTAAATTCAGGAGGTAAGCGCATGTATACATATATATATATATATATATATATATATATATATATATATATATATATGCAAGGCTGCTTCCTTATCGGCACGTGACGCGGATCCACCTGACCGCGTGGACCCACGCCATCCCCCAGTTGACGTTAAGAACCGCAAATCCTGCGTGAGTGTAGCGCGTGCGAGGAGCTGTGATAGTGGGTATGTACCTTTGCTGACGGTCGAGGTTCCCGCGGGGCGGCTGCCGCCTGTGCTGGGACGGATATCATAGAGGACGGCAAACAGCTGACAGGGCACTGCAGCTTCGGTAGCAGCACTTGGAGACTTTGGCGGGGCGGATCACGAGCAGCGGGCGTCAAAACAGACGTTACGTTCAGTCGGGCTGTCTGTGCCAGTCCACAAGGTGTTCACACATTGTCACGTTCACACGTGTGAGGACGACTTGTTGTGGAACCACCGGGGAAACCGAATGTGAAGTATATTTTTTATACTGGCATGTAGAGAGCTGCATGTTGTTTCATCAGCCTGTGGAGCGCCTTCCGGCTGGCACCGTGCACTCAGGCCTTCCAAATGATGTTTCTTGGCGCCTAAATCCTGGCACGGGTATACGAACACGTGCGCAGATATGGGATGGAACGTGCACAATTCTGGCGACCCTGAGCATCGCCCGCGGATCCGGCTCAGGTACCCACGTGCAGACATCATCTCGCACCACAACGGTCGATGGAAAGAGTACAACTTCAGGCGCAGCATGTCTTGCCTACAGCTGGGCGGATTTTATGCAACGGACCCTTGAGGTACCTCCAGAATTCTTTCGAAGTATATCCGTAATTCTCGGAGACTGGAACCGCGTGAACACGCGGAAGGGCCTGCCGCATAATGTCTTTGAGCAACCGCAACAATCCAGAAAGTATGTTTTTATGGGCCTATCTACACACAGCTCAGATCTGCTACTCTTCCAGGTGATGCGGTTTTCGCTGGGTTATTCGCTTGTCGCGTGCCCTGCTGCCACCACCCCTTTGGGAGGCCGCAAATTCTTGCGCCTTTATTGCCAGTTTCGCTTTGCAGTGACCACATCCCCGCAGAGGCGACTCGGGCACGCATATACAGAGCTCACCGAAGGTTGCAATAGCGTTATACGCTGCTGCACTTCAGTCCAGGGGGCTTACGATGTACATTGGGCGGGCCTGAGATACTAACGGCGCATCACACAGCTCCGCTTAGATTGTCTGCGTGACAACAGTCGTCGGCGGCGCCTACACAAACAGCGCAGACGTAATAGCTTGAGCACTCTGCAGATATACGCGGGTAATCCAGAAAGTGCGTCTCTGTCACTCTGCTGCACCGGTCTAGACATTGCTTCTCTTTGCAGATGACACATGTTCCCGGGCGGCGTGCACTGACGCCACGAGTGAATCAACTTTGGGAGCCGAAGTATCAGGCGGAGGTATACCGCTTGCATGAAGTGCCAGTTCGCTAGTCGTGAGCATTCTCGCTATGCAGCCGAAGCCCACTACTAATGACGTAGAACTGCCCTTTTCTGTGCAAAACATATAATCTACACCGGAGCTGAACTCAACCGCTAGACGCGCAGTTGCCGCTCGAGGCCGTTCAGATCATTTCCACCATCATAGGGATCGGCGCGCGCAGAGGGATCATAATGACTTGCTGCATACTCCTAAAAGCCGTCGCCTTACTTCAGGAAGCTAGTCTTCGTGAGCTCATTCACAGATATCTGAGCCGTGTTTATCTGCCGGGTCAGACAGGGTAAACCGGCGACGTGCGCTAACCGCAGTAGCGGATCAGCGTTGAAGACGGCAAGGCGTCGTGCTGGCGTGAACACGTCCATGAAACCGTCCTAGAAGTGTATGAATCGGCTCCTCTCAAATACTTAAGGAGATGCACATAACTGATTATGTTCATATCTTATCAAAGGCCCGCGACGGCTGGTACAATACTACAGCGGTGCTTTCAAGATATATAATGGAGGACGGGAGGGCTCCGGTAGAGGCGAGGATACTGCAGAATCATACGCGGGTAGGGTATCGTTCCGCTGCTCGCGTACATTCCCGCGGACGCGCCTGACGTGTGCACGTACACATCCTAGTCCGCGGCGGCGTGGTCAGCAAGGGGAAGGACACTAACAGACAGATGCGCGCGTATTGGTGAGGTGTGGGACCGAGTGATTTCAATCATCCCACAAGCTAGCGCCTATAAAGGATCCGATAAAAAGCTTGCTGCATACTCGGGGAAGCAATGGTTTGAATCAAGGAGGTAAGTTGCGGCGGTCTGCATGTGGAAAGGTATATTTTACTCCGCGAGCAGTTAAGGCCAAGCCCGGGAAGTGTTGGACACACGACACCCACTGGTGGGCCTTAAAGGCCGAAACCTGCTGCGCCGGGTTAACGTTTGCATGGGTGGTTGTGAGCGCCAAGCGCTTATTTGTTTTGAACATTTTCCCGGACGCGGTACCCTCTGCTGATGTCACGAAGAGCCTCAGCGGGTGGTGCAACTGTGCATCGCTCCTCGCAGCTAATGTAGTACATCGTAGGATTGATCCCAGGCAATTGACTCGCAGTCACGAGTCAGGCCCAGTGAAGCCACCTGTCTCGCCCCAGAAGCTGGTACGCATGCACATGCTGAAACGACTTCCCGCATCCTCGCCATGCAATGGTGCTACAGCAAGAGGTACGCTTCGTAGATCAATAATCCCCAGAACTGGATTGTCCATTCGTCAGCAAGCGAGGCGCGTCTTGCTGCCGGCATGGATTTACGCCATCAAAATGTCGCTTTAACAGCTGCCTAACCAGGGGCGGCTTGACACTTGCACAAGAACTACTCCGTGATCATTCGCGACGTGCCGTGGAAAACCTGATTACGAAGCGCAACAGCCGATACGGCGATGCTGCACTATCAGCAGCATGTGTAGAGCGCAGTTGGGTGGATCTCAAGCAGTAGATGTGCAGGCAAGACCCAGGTCTCTTCAGCTCACTTTTGTCGCAGGTCAGACGGACCCTCGTACAGGCGTGCGAATGGCGTGCCGCACACATGGTGAAAAACGTGGAATTCAAGGAAGTAAGATTGAGCGGGTATACAGATGGAGCTGCACTTCGCATCCAGTGACATGCGGCCCCAGGCCGCCCGTTAATTGATTCTGAAGCTCCCAAACCGCGACAGAAGGCCCATAGTCTCGCTAGCTGGGCAGAATTGCCGCAGATCCGGCGGACGCGTCCACGCACAGACACCGCCAGGGGGAAGCGTAGCAGCGGTACGATGGTGCAGCGTCGTTCGCACCATGTATTGTCTACCTAGCTCGGCGGACCCCATAGATTGGAGGCCTGCTTGGTCACACAAGTCTACTCGCCTCATCCCCATTACTCCAGTACTCGCTGGTCTACCATCATGGCGCAAGCTCGTAACCTTGCACATGAAGGCGGTAGGTCGTGCGGATGCAGGTACGCAGAGCTGCGCTGCATATTACTTCTAGGGCAGGCCCACGCGGATTTAGGGCGCCTGCTAGTCGACCTGAGAGGCCTCGCTTGTACGCTGGTAAAGGGTGTGTATCACCCTAGTGGCGGCGAGCGCTGCCGCGGGTACTGCTGAAGCAGCCATGTTCGAATATCTTCATGGGCCGAACACCTTGCATAGCAGTATAGTTTCATTCGCACCCAAGGGTAGTCTACCTCTTGGCGCTTTTCAAGCATTAAAAGCCGAAGGACTACCCAGAGGTGGTCAGAACTGTCCGTCACTGCGTGACCTGGCGCGGTCTGCACACACGGGGCAGTGGCTTCTTGCATACTCGCGTACTAACCGCGACCAATTAGGAAAGCTGAGCCCCGCGCGGATCTCTATGTGCATATCTGAAACCTGCATTCTTCGCAGGTGCATATAGTTCGCAGGTGGCCGACTCTTCCGTCCGTAGCTGATCGAGTGCGAGGGCCGCGGAATTACCGCGCCGAGAATACACTAGCAAGCAACTGTGGTCACAACAGTCCCCACGGGAGCGTCGTATATATATGAATATAGATCTGCCACTAAGCGTCGCAGTTAGTTCCGCTCTCGCAACATTGCCGAAGCGACTGGCGTACGGTTATGCAGTTCTCATTGAAGATCGCTATAAGCTGAGGGCTACGGCAGCTCCGTGCACAAGACAGATTCATTCGTTGGACCTCATATAGTAGTAGGGCGGTAGATACTACTGCATCTAGATGTAGAAGTAACAACAGAGACGCGGCACACGTGCGGCATCTGGCTTGGTGCGTACTCTGCACACAACGACGACCAAGTGCAGAAAGTGAGTTTCTGTGGATCTGCCTGCATAATTTGAATCCTGGCTACTTTAGCAGGCGCCACGCGCCCGCAGCTCGCGTGCCTTGGGCGTTCACCATTGAATCAGACTTTAGGATGGTAATATCATCCGCTGTAAACACTCGCATGAGGTTGCGACTGAAAGTGTACAATTCAGCCGGGCTTCAGTATTATCGCGCCCTGCGCGAGGATTTTCATGTACAAGTATTCTCAAGGACCGCAACAGCAGATGCAGTCCTACAGTCTTCTTTGCAAATATATATACTACAGAGAGGCTGAGCCCAAGCAGTGGACGCGCAGGTCACCACGCAGAAACATGTAGATGATGTTGGTCGCCCGGCATACTGGCGCGCATAATAAGCAAGCAAATGGCTTGCTGGTTATTGTATAAGCCACCGCCTAAACCCAGGAAGTACGTTTTCGCTGATGGGACTATAGAGATCTGGAGCGCGCCTTCTCGGCAGGCATGAGAGGCCGAGGGGCGGTGTGCCCTGGCGTTATCAGTAGGTTAGCATCGAGGATTGCAGAAGTTGCGTCGGCGCGCCCCGTGCACGAAAGCGGGTCTGCGACTCTCGGATATTGCTGCGGCCGGCAAAGATCCTTGCAAATACGCCGAACGTGCACAGGTCCGAACACCCTCAGGAATCGCAACGGCTGCGACAACGCTGCAGCCGTTCTCGCATGACATATACTTGACGGCGGCGTCGGTCTCAGGTCTTAGACACCCTGGTGCCACTCGGGCTCCTTTAGATGAGGTTCCACACCGAACAAACCGGCGACCATCCGTGCATGAGAAAGGCTTCCCGGATACCCTGCTGAATAATGGCGTGTATTAAGGAGGGTACGTTTCGCGTACAGGGACGGATCTTGCTTGGCAAGCAGATGAGGCCGAATTCACTGGTGACGTGCCTACGCCACCAGTTAGTTTATTTCGAGGGCGTAAAGTGGTTTGTCACTATAACACTCGCTTGGCACCCTGAGTTTGCCGGTGGTGCATCATTGCCGCGGACGCGCTTGCCGCATATGTGTACGAATATGATCAAGACAAGCACTGCTGTACAATACCACAGCCATAAATCGCAGCTATTGTGGCGTACAGGGGGGTCGACTCTCGAGCGTCAGACGCAGAGGCGCTGCTGGGGTGCACACGAATTACGCCTCTTGTACCCTAAGCTGTCGCGCGTACACGTGTGAGTATGGCTTGCTGCATACTTGCAAACAACGCTGTGAATGAAGGCGATATTTCTGGTAAATCGTCGTGTACAGATTTAATATTGCCTCGCGAGCAGGCGGGGGCGCGCGCTCAAGCCGCCAACTGGTCGATTCCGAGGCCGCAAGGAGTTTTGTCACGAATATGGCCGTGGACGCGGCTGGCGCATCTACGCCCGAAATATTAAGGACTGAAGCCGCAGCGGGTATAATAATATTGTTCAGTCCGCTGCATACATAGTCTTCGGGTGGGCGGATCTCCAGTAGGAGACGCGCAGAAGAAGTCGGCCCGGTCAAATCATCCGTGTCCGCCCATGGACCAAAGAGCTTCACACAACAAAACGGCTTGCTGCATGTCTGCCAGACGGGGGGCGCGAATCAGGCCCGTAAGTTCCGTAAATGCACACGAAGAAATCTGCGGTTTGCTTTACCAGCAAGTGAGGCACCCGCTACTGGGTGCCGTGCATTTGCGCAAGCGATTGCGAAAGCCACAAGGTCCACTTCGTTGTCATGTTGGCGTAAAACTGGGTTAGGAAGTGTACAAGTAGCAGATCGCCAACGTTTCCGCGGGTGCGGCCGGGGGCGTTGACGGACAAATACAGTTAGAGGTGGCCACAGCTCATATAGCAGCACAGACTTGACTGGCAGCGTACGCAGTTTTCACTCGATTAGAACTGCATAGGTGGTGTATTGCGTAGGTCCATCCATTTCGATCGTACCAAGTTCCAGAGGGGACGCGCGCACAGCGGCGCACGTGGCTGCTTGCACACTCTGTGGAACGGCCGGGCAAACAAAGGAAGTAAGATTCGTGGACGTGCAAACAGGGAGCTATATTTTGTGTCGTCAGCAACCGAGGTGCATCGAGCTGATGGTGTGTACTTATTTAAGCCACTCTCCGTTTTTGCAATGGTACAACATATGCGCGGAGCTGCAGGCGAAAGCGTATTTCAGTGCTGGTCCGAACGTCGCTGGCGTCTGCGGCTGGGATACTCAGGGACGAACACCACAAGAACTGGTACGATGGTACAGCTCTGTTCGCAACACGCAGAGCATACAATTGGGCTGATCTCAAGGGGTAGTCCTGGAGCTCTTACGCGGATGTACACAGGCTAATTACTACGTGGCTTGCTTTCCAAAGTGAGCCGTGTACTGTACGCGGAAATGGCTTGCTGCACATTCTTCGAATCACGGCGGCAATCTAGAAAGTAAGTTACTGTGGAGGTATCTCTTAAAATTTGAACGTCACACCTCTCGCAGGTGACGCAGGTTCGCTGAGAGCGCCTGTATCACGCTTGCAGGTCATGGTGCTCGCAGCACGGCCGGGTATGCTGTGAAGATTGAAACATCAGCAAGAATCGCAGTAGCCTACGGACTACTCCAGCTTGATCAACAAGACGGATCGCTTATAAGCGCGCTGGGCCTTAGGGGGTTGAAGCGCAGAAAAAAGCTTATGATTCAGGTAGTGGAGCATGTTATTCGGTATATTGACGACGTGGCTGGTTTTTCCGTGTACGCCGTATAGGAGGCTCCCGCAGTTCTCCACTTCCACATGTAGACTCTTCGTGTGATTCCATGCGTGCGGGAATTCGAGCTGACGCACATACGCACGTGGGCGTGGCTACTCGCTCTCAGAAAGTGAGCGTCTGTAGATCTGCCCGTACACTGCTATAGGTGGCTTCTTCAGCGAGTGAGGCACCCCCGCAGCGGCGTGCACTGACGCTGCAAATGAGGCAGTATTCCTCTTGCGTGCACCTTTGACTGGACGCGTGTAAACCTGCCGATGGCGAACGTCTCGGGCGGTGCATTAGGGAGATCCATTCACACATGGTTTGGAGGACCACAACGGCTGATTAGCACTGCAACGCCGTTGGCAAGACACACTATCAGCAGCGGGGTGAATCTCCGCCATTAGACGCGCAAGCACCCCTCGGGCGCACCAAGTCCTTTTTGTCACTCCGTAAGCCAGCGCGCAAAGCCGCATGATAACAGCTGTCTGAATAGTCTCTGGGCTACCACTTCATTTCAGGAAGTACGTTTTGCGCAAATCAGATTATGATGTATTGCTGTGCTCCACCAGCAGCCGAGGCAGGCTCACGCGTGCCCTGCACTGGCATCACCAGCGGTGAGCAAATGTCCCTCCTCTGTGACTCTTGCAGCGGGTGCTGCATACGTGGTCTCCGAGTAAGCGTACCTCGGGCATTAGACGCGCAAGTACCACTCACATTGATCGAATCATCCGTCTCGGCTCGAAAATCGGGGCCCTTACACACCGCAAAATGGCAGGCATATCTGACACCCGATTACGCGCAATAAGGAGGTACGTTTCGTAAACGCGTATACACGCAGCTGTATCCGTATCCGTAAGCAGGTGAGGTACGTGCCGCTCGTCGATAATGAAGGGCACGTGTTCCTGCGCTGCTGTAACATCGACGTGGGAAGCTTGACGAGACGTGCATAATTCTGCTTCTTGCACACGGTTCCGCGGGTGCGGCTGACGTATTCACGTGCCCCGGGTCGTCACTTACCGCAATTGCTGGTACACTAGCACAGCTTTATGCGCTGCATGTATACCTGCACGCGGGCTGATACCAATCCCTACAGAGTGGCCGTATCGCGCCGGCCCGTTCACATCGTCTCCTTCACTCTGAATTTTGGCGCGTGTACCGCTGTAAGAGCGTCTTGCTGCTTAGCGGGTAAATCACCGTGTGAATAAGGGAGGTAAGACTCGTTGGCCCATATGCACGGCTGTGTAGTTTGCTTCGTCAGTGAAAGAGGCGTATCCGGCGAGTGGCTTGAAGCTAAGCGACCAACGCACCGACCTGGAAAGTCTCACGTAGTCCGCTGGTATAAGAGCTGCGTGGAATGTGATACGAAGCATATGATCCTAGCGATGCGGGCATTTTTCCGCTGGCCTGGCCAGCGTCTCGAGGTACAAACATGAACAGGGACCACAGGAGTCGATAAAGAGTATAAGCATGTTCGCAGGCAGTGTGTTTAACGGCTGTGCGAATCTGTAGCATCAGATGCCCACGTACCACGCAGTTACAATCAATCCATCGCTAGTGCTCAAGAAGCTGACATGCGTACACGAACGAAAGGAACAAGATGCGAATGTATTTGAGCGACCGCGGCAACCCAGATGGTATCTTTCTTAGCTGCCGCTGCTTCGCTAGGAGCGTGCTCTTACGTCATCAGCTGAGGCTTGCAAGAGCCGCGGACCCTTGCCGCGGTACAGCACGTGCACGCTGCTGTGATCGCAGCATTCTCGAGGAGGCGACTGACATACGGGCGTTCAGGACACAACAACTGCCCACGCGTTTGCGGCGGTGCGATCAACAGAACAGATCGACTACAGTGGGGCCGGATCCTGAATGTACCACGCCCGAGCGATACCCCATCTGAATAATCTCTGTCGGAAGACAAACTGGCGACCAGGCAGACGGGCACGGCTACCCGTGAACGCTGCAAATGACGACGGCCATACAGAGAGTAAGTTTTTGTGGACTCCCCTGTACAAGTGTAGAGTTCGCCTCTTTATCAGGTGGGGCACGGTTGCAGATGGAAGTCCATTGGCTTGATGGCTTTGAAGCTCGAAGCAGGATGCGCCAATATGAGACGTGAGTAAAGGGTGTAGTTAGTAGTGTGTAATTTTGCCAAGCGCTAGAATTCTTGAGAAGACGGCTGAAGAGCCCATTTGAGAATACGTGGGAGGACCTCAGCGGGTGATACAACATTAGAGGCTGCTTCGCAAACGTTGTAAAGTACAGCGTCGCCGACCTCATGGTGTAGACGAGCAGACGCCGCTCATATCCATTCAGAGCAGTCCTGTCCCCTCCAGACACACGCACGCATGCATGCATCATAACTGCTTGTTACGTACTCTCTACGCAACCTCCGCCATCCAGAAAGTAGGCTCCTTGTGGTAGATTTCGAGAGCTTTGAATCTCGCTTCTGCTCCAGGCGAGCCAGCTTCACGGGCGACATGCGCTGACACCATCAGCGAGCCCGCTCCGAACGCCTCAGGATACTGCGTCGTCGTGTGATACTAGCATGCGATTGTGACTGACAAGTAACCAGTTCTGCTGCGCGCAAGCATCATCGCTGTTGCGGTTGACGTGTCCACGTACAGATAGCTTGAAGCGCCGCAGCGGCTGAAGAGGGGAGTTTTGCAGGCTACATGTATAATCTTCAGTTGGGCGAATTTTAAACAACCCACACGCAGGCATAACCCAGGCCCATTCAAATGAAGTTTGTCACTCCACAATCGGTGCGCGTACATCTCTGATAATGACTTGCTCTCTGCCCGGTTACAACGGTGTCAACCAAGGAAGTATGTTTAGCGGATCTATACAGAAAGAGCTCCATTCTTTTCGTCAGCAGCTGAGGCGAGTTTTTACTGCTGTCGGATATTTGTGCCACAAGTACCTGATATCGAGGACCGTAACATTTTGCGGTATAGCATTTGAGGTGAACTGTGATTGGAACACTGGAATCTGAGTGATCTTGAGTGTTTGCCGTGGATGCCTTTGACGCATCGTGGACAAATCGCCTCAATATCAGCAACAGCTCGCACAATGCGACCGCCGTCTGTGCAGATTGTATAGCGTAGAGTGGGGTGCACATCGCCAATCCGACGCGCACGTCCCACTGAGGCACGCTCATGCTTCTTGAGCGAAGCAAAACAACGAGCTGGCGCACGTACAACTGCAAGTATTGCGCCTCAAATACTCGCAAACGGCGACGTAAATTAAAGGCGGTAAGGTTGCTCATATACGTATACAGAGCTGCATTCTGCTCCTTCAGCAAGCGAGGCGCATCCCGCTGGTTTCGGTGCACTTACGTCACCAGCTACCAGGACTGAAGCCTTCAGAATCTTGCGCCGGTCTCATGCTGCATCAAAGTTTTTGATCACGCTGATCAGAACATTTCCGTGGATGCGGCTGGTCGATTTATAGAAGACGTGATGAAGGACAGCCAAAGGTTGGTGCAGCACCACTGCTCGGTTTGCTGCGTACGTTGTCTTTGGTTCGGCGGATCTCCAAAATAAAGAGCGCAGATACATGTCAAACCAGCCGAATCAGCGGCGTCAGCACGCAAATCGGAGTTTGTTTGCGCGCCAAATAACTTGCTGGATATCTGCTAATGGTGTGCAATCAGGAGGTACGTTTCACTGAAGTATACATACAGAGCTGCACTCTGCATCGTCAGCGCTTGTGGCATAATCCGTCGGTGGCGTGCTCTAGCGTCGCCCTCTAGTCGTGTTGAAGGCCGTAAACCTTGCGCTAGTATGAGACTTCCACGGACCTACGAATGGGCGTGTATGATCCTGCTGACCGCGAGCATTCTGAAAGACAGGGCTGGCGTGTCCATGTATAAATATCACCAAGAGCCGCAGCAGCTGGTACAAGCATTGCGTCTTGGTCCGCAACACATATACTGTACACGTGTGCGGATCTCAGCCCCTGTACGCGCAGACAGGTGCCAGATGTATTCGGGAAACCTCTAGCGGCCCCTCTAGCGGCCCGCAGACTATAGTAGAAATGGCAGGCCTTATAGTGGGGAGGCTGCCGTGCGTATTTTAGACTTGCGGAAATCTATCCATTTACCTATCTATCTATTTATCTAGATATATGTATAAAATATGTACAGTTGTATACATAGAGAGAGTGATCCACAAATGCTACATCGTCATATACAGACACATAGCCCCAGTGACTGCGAGCATTGCCCCAAATGGGGCTGGCGCGTCCGTGGACAAACATCATCAGAGGCCGCAACAGCTGCTACAATATTACGGTACCGTTCGCAACACGTATAGTCTAACGCCGAGACTTCTTAGACAGTAGACAGGGCTGGGTTGGGCACGCCCAGTTCATCCGTGTCCCTCATTCTCCTAAAAAAACGCGCGTACAGCAGTGGAAATGGGTTGCTGCTTACTTCGCGGACGGCCCTGTAAATAAAGCAAGTAAGTTACATAAACCTGTTACGGACCGAGCATCATTTTATTGCGTCAGCCACAGGGGCGGAGCTTGCTGGAGACGTGGACGTAAATCGCTGAGCGCTCGGCTCTGGAGGCCTTTGATTCTCGCACCGACCATGCGGATCGCACGGAAACCTCGTGAGCACGCGTATTTTAGTGCTGATCGCTCACATATTTGCCGATGCGGATGCATATCCGTAAACAGACATCATTCTGGATCACACCGACTGATGCAATACAGCTCTTCCCACAATATGCGTAGCCTACAGCTGGGCAAACGTAAACTGCCGAAGCAGGACAGCCTAGGCGCAGTACAGCTCTATCGCTCCCCACACTGACGCGCGTGCTCGGTGCAAGTGGCTGGCTGGACACTGCAGCACACCACCTCGAAAATTAGGAAGTACGTTTTGTCAGCCTATGCGTACACATCTGCGGTTTATATCGTCAGGAGGTCGGGGCCAGCACACCGGCGGTGTGGATCTACGCTTCTAGATCAACCAAATTCACAGAACGGTAAAATCCTACGGAAGTATAACGTTTGCGCGGATCTGCGACTGCTTGTGTGCGGTGCTAGCGACCTCGAGCATGGACGCGCGCTCGGCTGAAGTCTCCGTGTACGAAAATCGTCACAGACGACCGCAGCTTATACAAATAGCACAGCTTTCTGCGCCCCCGCTGCTCGAAACCAAGCAGTAAAAGCTGGCATATTACTGAGAGACCCAGTACGAAACTCTTAATCACACCCCAACCTGACGCGCTCGCACACAGGGAAAGGGTCTGCTTCATACGCTCTGAGCAACAATATCAAACCAGAAAGTAAGCTGCTTGGAGGTGTCTGTACAGAACAAAAATTCACTGCTTCTGGAAGTAGCCAGGTTCCGTGGCGGGCCTCTCTTGGTGGCATGCGCTTCCTTCAGTGCCCAATCGATTACGAAGGCTGTAGACACCTGTCTCTCTATCACACTTGCACGTTGCTGTGATCAGGTCATGCCCCGCGTACGCCGCTGACGACGTGTACATATGACTGTCATAAGGCATCGCGGTAGCCGGGATTTTCAACTGCCAAGCCAATAAGCAGGTCATCTACAGTAGGATGGACGTCAAATATAACACAAACACCTAGTACTCCGTTCAGGTTGTCTGTACCACAATAGAGAGAATGACGCTTGTAAACGCATAGACTTGACTACCTGCCTGCTTTGCAAAACGAGGACGGCAATCCAGAAAGTGAGTTCTTGCGGATCTAGCTGAACAGTCCTTCAGCTGGGTTCCTGAACACGTGAGGCACGTTGGCAGGTGCCGCGCACTGACGTCCCGAGCGAAGCGGCCTAGAGATCCGAGCTATCATGCGCCTGTATTACTCTTGCGTGCACCTATGACTGCGAGCGTATACTGTCGCCGACATTGTTTGCGGAGACCCCTGCTTGCACACATGTTTTCAGAACCTTCACGAGTGACCCAATACTACAGCGCTCTTTCAAAGTTGTACAATAACGACGGTGCGGATCTCAGCTGTCAGACGCACGCGCGTCATTTTCGGCCCATAACAATTCTGTCCCCTTACTTCGTAAAGTGGCGAGCGTAGACGCATGATGCTAGCGTCCTGCACTGCTCTCCGTGCTCTCGCGACAACCAGGAAGTAAGTTTTGATGGTTAGGTTTCAATGGATCTGTACCGCCTTCCTCCAAACAGAGAGGGTCCATGAGGTAACGTGCACTATATCCTAGTGCAGCAGCCTCAGAGGCCGCAAAACATTGCTTCGCTGTGACGCTTGCATGGGAGCGTCGTCGAGCGCCTGTAGGTTTGTTCTCGGCGAACACTGTTGCGGACGCAGATGGCAGTTTTCTTCGAAGCCCCTTGACACAGATGCAACACTCAGCTCTCTTCACGTGCCACGTAATAAAATACTGACGTGAGTCCCGAGCCTTAGGCGCGCAGACATCGCAGAGGCCCACTAGAAATCATGTTTGTGGTCCAACAGACGGGCCCGCGAACATGCGTGGTAGTGGCGCGCGGTGTAGTCGGTAAATACTGGTGGGAATGAAGGAAGTACGTTCTGTGAAAGTATACATGGAAAGCCCGCATCTGCTTCGTCAGAACCTGGAGCAGGTTACACCGCTGCTGCGGACTTACGCCACCAGGAAACCGATGCCTAAGGGACGCAGTACCGTGCCACGGTTTGATAGTTGCATGTAACTTTAGTTTAGATTGTCTAGTTTTGCGAATTTCGAACATTCCCGCTCGTGAGGTGATCTTGCAACGGTTCTACGATGAAATGCAGTCCACGACAGCTGTAAACAGGTACAATGCTACAGCCTCCTACGCAGAGAATGTAGCGTACGCTAGAGTCCGCCTCACACGTTGGACGCGCCGGTACTACCCAGGTACGCTCAAGCCAACTCTGTCACACCACAAGCCGGCGCATGTTCGCACTGTGTGTTGGCGTGCTGCATACTCGCCATAAGGAGGTAAGGCTCGTGGACTCACGTAGATAGAGCTGTACATTGCTGCTTCAGCGACGGCGGCAAATTACGGTGGCGGCGCGCATACTTTCGCCACTGTTACTCCACTTCGAACGGCCGCAAGCTGTAGCGGGCCGCGTAAAGCCCGCATCCTAGCGTTTCACTTTGTTGATTGGGACCGTTCGTGAGGCGCGACGAAGCATCTGCTGAGACACGCAAACAAACGTAGCAGGAACTAATACAATTGTGCAGCTTTATTTGCTGCGTGGTAGTCTCCAACTGGGCGGGTCCTGAGCGTCTCATGCGTAGGTACAACAAACGAATCGGGTGGCGTACACACATCGAGATGGCAGGCTGCAAGTCCGCCAGACCGTAACGAAAAAGCAGCGGTACGTTTTCGTAGACGTGCAACGTCAGGTTGTACGCTGTTTCGTCAGCAGAGAAGGTGCATCTCGCTAATGAGGTCGACATCCGCCACCAATTTGGCGAGTTTGGAAGCCACGAATTCTTGTGCCGGAGCAAGGCGCAAAATTGCAAGGACCTGTAATTCTCGTAGTTGAGGGGCTGGCCTCGGATGCGCCCGATGTATTTGCTACCAAACAGCACACCGGAACACAACAGCCGAAACGACAGCACCGCTCTAGCGGCAACGTGTGCCGCATGAAGCAGGCGCATTTTAGCCATTAGCACTCGGGTGTCTCTCGCAGGGCCGTTCCTTTCATCCCTGTTTAAACTCTAAGAAGGCGGGCGTGCGGAGGCGAAACCGGCTTGCAGCAAACTCAGCTAACAACCCTGTAAATTAAGGAGGTAAGCGGGGTGGGCCTATATGCACGCAGCTACGATGTGCTCTGTCAGATAGTGAGACGCATCCCGCTGAAGGGGCGACCCACGGCGCCAACAAACTGCCTTCAACGCCTGGAACATTTGCCCTTGTATCCCGCATTTGCATGGATTCGTGAGAGGACGTGTACTAGTCCTGGTAGTCGCGCAGCTTGCCGCCGCTCCCGCAGCCCATATCTACATAAAAGCGTCATCACGGACCGCGACGGTTGACACGCTAGCACAGCCTTATCTGCCATGGGCTGTCGCCCACAACTCCGGCGGTCTCAAGGCTTTAGATGCGGTGCTAGGACGCGCGCGCGATCCACCCACTTCTCTCAACCTCCGGTGGATGCGCCGGCAGAGTTGGAATGACTCGCTGCATACTCTCCCCGTAGCGGCGGCAATGCAGAAAGTACGTCTCCTCGATCTGTATGTGCAGGTCTCGAGTGGACATCGTTTTGCTGGTTAGGCAGGGCTGCTGGCGGTCTCGCTGTCCGGCGGCTCTTCTGTGACCAAGTAACGGGTCGTAGAAGCGGCAAAAACCTAAGCCGATGTCATGCTCGCACGTAGTCTTCTCTACAACCTTTCCGCTGAAGCGACTGTTACATGTGTATGAGCTGTCATCAGATTTGCAAACCCGGTTCACTGCGACGGTTTGCTTACCGAGGGAAAGCATCCCTACGCTGGGCTACATCTCACGTCGGACGCGCGAGGTGAAGCAACCGCTGTCACAACACGCTCTGGGCGCGCATACACGCATGGGCGTGGCCGACTGCGTTCTCTGCAGACACCACGGGAATCCAGAGGGAACGTTACTCCGGATTCTTGAGTAGAAGTCTAACGTCGGCTTTCTGAGCCCGTGAGGCACGTTCGCAGGTGGAGTGCGCTGACGTCACCCGTGAATGGGTGCAGAGGTGCGAAACGTCCTGCACCGGTAGAAGGCTGCCGGCTGCTGCAGCCTAGACCTAAATTTTCAAGCCGTGACTGCAGCTGCTTGTGCCCTGAACCCCGGGACTTGAGCCCCTAAACCGTGCCTTTTGATCAATAGAGCATAAAACTCAAACAGGCCCCCTGTCCTCATTCCTTTTGACTGAATGTGTGTCATCCTGCTAGTTGCAACTTTCCGCGCGGAAGCGGTTGATAGGCGCATGTACGGGTATTATGAACCACAGCGGCTGATAGCAATGACTATTGTTTTCTTCACGAAATATATAACTTGTCGCTGAAGCCGGCTCAGGTACTGTTCAAAAAGCTCCTCAGAACCATCTAGGTTCTTTCTGCTCTTCCAGGAACTGGGCGGTGTACACACATGATGAGGGCTTGCTGCCTAGTCTGTGCGGCACCGCTGCAATGCAGAAAGTAGGTTTCCGTGGAACATTTTACCGAAATCCGAGAGATGTTTTCTTTTGCAGCTGAGGCACGGTTGGCGGATGAGGTGCACTAGCACCACTTGCTAATCAAGTCGAAGACGGCGGAATGTGTGTGCCTGTGACTCTTGCACGGACCCACTACTAAATCTCTGTAATCTGCTGCTCGCGGTGATTACTGCGGAGGTGTCCGACAAAATCCGCGTACACATATTGGCAGGGCCCGCATCAGCTGTTTCTATTGTCGCAGCCGTATTCACAAGACGTATTGTCAGCAATCTGGTGGACATCAAGCAGAAGACGCGCGGATGCCAGTCGCTCACATCCTTATGATTTCTCTCGCACCACGGACCGGCGCGTACACATGCATTGTTGTCGCACGCCGTATACTTCGTAAAATGATGGGGTGCACTAAGGAAGTAAGTTCCGTGGATGTATATAGAGAGAGATGTATATGCTTTATCAGCAGTTGTGGAAAATCGTACTGATGCCCTGGACCTATGCCCCTCGGTTGTAGACGAAGAGCGTGGCGCCCGTATATCACATGCGTGTAACTGTCTTTTAACGTGTGTATGTAGGCTGACCACGGAGATTCGCACGCCTTGCAGCTAACGCACATGCGGACGAAGACCATCGAGAGAAACACCACCCAGAACATTCTCTCGCCGTTCTTTGCGGTAGTGCAGCATACAATGCGGTTGATGTCCAGCATTAGCGTCACTACTTCTCAAATACATGTAAGTCGCATCTGTCACACCACGGGCTGGGGCGCGTACAGACGGAAGTTTGGCGGACTGCATTCTCTCCAAACGACGGTGTAAACTCAGGCAGTAAGGCTCGGCGAGTTTTCGTATACAGTGCTGCATTTTGCTTCGTCAGCGGGCGAGCCGCACTCCACCGGTTGTTCGCAGTCTCGGCACCAGTTAGTCGCTTGTTGGATGCCACAGGCTGTTTGCGCCTGCATATTTCTTGTACTGTAGTGTATACTTCGCGGGTTTACGTATATTCCCATGGATGCGGATGACGCCCTCTCCGGACAGACACCACGAAGGAAGTCAACAGGCAATGATGCTCCCCGCTCTACTTTCTACCACTTCTTCACGTGGGCGCATTTCAGGCATAAGGAGTCACAGGCTCTTTCCAGCTGTAGCCGAATGATCTCCACTCACAAACCGGGGCGCACGCACGCGCCAGTACAACTTGCATTCGAGGTAAACAACGGGGTACAACCAGGCGGTAAGCCCGTGCATCTGTATACTATCACGGACAGCAGCAGTTGACGCGATAGTACAACGTTGTCTACCTCACGTACAGCCTACGCCTGGGGGGATTTGAAGCATTAGACACGTGGGTCGGCTGACGCCTCTGCGAAAGAGTATGATCAAGGAAAGCAAAAGCTGGGGCAATAGTACACCGAATTCGGTGCATACATTGTCTTCGGCTGCATGCGTCTCAGGCATTTGGAGCGCAGTTGCTACCCGGGTCTAGACAAATTACCTACCGCAACCGGCAAGCAGGGCTCACGCACCCACCCGTACGGCTTGCCGTGTATTCTTTACACAACTGTGTACAATCAGGAGGTAAGTCTGGAGCATTTCTGTATCCATAAACGCATTGTGCCTCTTCCGCAGGCGAGGTCTGTCCCGCTGGCGGCGTCGACTTGCGCTGACAAGCGATCAATCTTGGGGGCCTCAGAATCTTGCAGTGGTATAAGCTTTGCACAACTGTTATGAGAATGCATGGAGTTCTAGCGACTGTGACCACTGCGCGGCGACGTGCCTGACACGTCTGCGAGCAAATGTCGTAATGGGCAGCAAAAAGATAGTACACGTTTATTTGCCGCACGTGTGACCTGCACCCGGGCGGGTCCGAAGCGGTAGACGCAGAGGTGTGCCGCGGTTCATCCGCTTCGTGGCGCCAGCATTCAAGAGAGTGCGAGTACAGAGATGAATACTGCTCGCTGCATAGTTGTTGAGCAGCCGTTAAAGACGGTGCTGATCAAGGAAGTAAGATTCGTCGACGTACCTATACGGAGCTGTAGAACGCTTAGTCAGCAGACGCGGTGGCGTTGGCGCGCGCGCCACCGGTTTGAATGGCCTGCAGGTCTTGCATCTGTTCGACATCCGCATGGACCTTGGAGGCAGGTGTAGCTACCTTGCTCCCCAGACTGACGTGCGCATACCCACATGACTGGCTTCCTACGTGCAACCCGGACAATTCAGAAAGTAAGTTATTGCGGACCTATCTCTACAGATTTGAGCTCTGCATCTTTCTGCGGAGAAAGCAGCTCTCCGGCAGGCCACTGTCGTCATCAGCTGATCAAGTACAGAGGCGGTCAGCTCTACCACCAGTAAGAACACTGGCACGTTACTAGGACCACAACGTTTTCGCGGAAGCGGCTGATATATAAAGATACTTTTGTCAGGGGACTCGTCGGCTATACGCACCCACAGCTCAATCCACAGGGCACATATCTCCAATAAGTGAGACATCAGATATATGGCGCGCGCTTGGCAATCTACTGCAGTTGCGTCTCTCACACGTCACACTGGCGCCCCTACACACGGGCACGGCCGCCTGCGTGCCTCGAAAACAACGTTGGCACTCCAGAAAGTGAGTTTCTGTGGATCTACCTGTACCATTCAACTGTCGCGTCTTTAGCGGGCGAGGCACGTTCGCAGGATGGCGTGCGCTTACGTCGCCAGTTAATCAATCCTGAAATTCTAGACATCGTGCCCCGATAGAACGCCGCGGTGTACCAAACCACAAATCCTGTACCGAAATCGTCAGCCGTAAACCCTAATGCATAAACTCCAAATTCTGGGACTCAGACTCTGAACTTTTACATCAAGCTCTAGACCCGAAAGCTTGAATACCAGCAGATCAACCCTCATGACTTAGTGTCTGTCATGCTGGTCGTCGCGCTGTTTTCGGCGGAAGCGGCTGACGTGCCCTTGTACAGACGTTATCAGCGACGACACGAGGTCTAGTCTAGTTCTACACTTCTGCCTGAACAGGATACAGCTGTTTATGCCGCGGGTGCAACAGCGGCCAGAAGCGAGGCAGTTGCCCTCCAAACTCTTTTAGGTTGTGTTTGTCCTGCCAAATACTGGGAAGCACACAGACATGATAGCGATTTGCCGCATACTCCGTATGCCGCGCCGCGACCCAGCAAGTAAGTTTTCACGCAGCGTTCCACGGTGTTCTCTTTTGCAGAAGAGACAGGTTCAGGGGCGACGCGCACATACACCCTTAGTGAACCAGCGCCGGAGACCGCGAATTATTGTGTGTTTGTAACACTAACATGGAACATCGGCTGGACAGTCTGTGACCCTGCTGCTTTAGAGAAATTCCGCGAACGCGCCTGACTTGTCAGGGACCGCAACAGCTGGTCCTCCGTCGCTGCCGTATTCGCAAGATTTACAATCCAGCAGCCGGGCGGGCCTCAGAGGGGAGAGCGGCGAGTATCAGACAGGCGTATTCGAATGGTGTGCCTCTCCCGGCAAACTGGCGGCTCATACATGCACCATCGCGGCACGCTGTGCACACGTAGAATGATGCTGTACTTTAAGGAAGTACGTTGCGCGGATGTATAGAAGGGGTTGGATCTGCTTTGTCACCAGCTGAGGCGAAGTCCGCTGGTGTCGTGGACTAGACGCCTCTACTGAAATTATGTGGAATGGCGAGAATCTCGCGCCGCTATATCGCTTGCGTGGGACCGCGATTAGGACTGCGTAGCTACTGCAGTCGTGAACGCTCCACGGGTGCGGCTGTCGCGTATGCGGGCAGATACCGTCGAGTGGAACGACAGCTCATAGGATTCAACCGCCTTTTACGCGGGTATTGTAGCATACATTGCTGTTGACCTCCAGTATTAACAGCGTGGTTCTCAGATAGGTGCAACTGGCTTCCGTCACACCGCAAGCTGGCGTCTGTCCGCACGGGAGGCTGGCTTGCTGCATTGCGGCCGAATAATGGTATAATCTCAGGAAGTAAGTTCGACGGTTTTGTGCGTACAGAGCTGAAGTTTGCTTCGTGAGCAAGCGGGCGCGATCTGCAGGTAGCTTACAACTCCGGCACCAGTTCGTCGCTGTTGAAGGCTACAAGCGTTTGCGCTAGTATAACTCTTGCATCCAAATGTCTACCTGTGCTGATTACAAATACTTCCGCGGGTGCGCCTGACGCGTCTGTGAAAGAGTATGATAAGCGGAAGCAAACGATGGTACAAGCGTACACTCAACTCTGTGCATGCATCGTGTGGGCGCGCCTCCGGCATTAAGAGCGCAGCTACAACCCGGGTGTAGACAATTCATCTGTGTCAACCGACAACCCGGGGCTCACGGGCACACCAGTAGGGTTTGCTGCATATTCGCTAAACAATGCTGTAACAATTAGGAGGTAGGTCCCGTGCATTTCCGTAGACACAGACGCATTTTGCCTGCATAACAGGCGACGCGTATTCCGCTTCCGGCGGGCGACGGGCGCCGACCACCGATCAATGCTGAATGCTTCACAATCTTGCAGCGGTATGGCCTTTGCACAAATTTGAGGGGAAGTGCAGAGTTCTAGTGACCGTGAACACTGCGGCGGAAGTGCCTGCCATACTCATGAACAATATATCACAAGCAGCAACGAGATAGTACAGCTGTATTTGCCGCACGTGTAATCTACACGTGGGCGAATCCGAAGCGTCAGACGCTGAGGTATCGCCGGAGTCCACCCACTTCACGGCTCCCAGCGCTCAAAGGGACGCGCGCACAGGAGTGGAAACGGCTTGCTGCATACTTGGTGAGCAGCCGTAAACGAGGTTGCTGGTTAAGGAAGTAGGTTTTGTCGACATACACATACGAAGCTGTGATTTGCATTGTCAGCAGGTGACGCGCGCGCCGCTGGTGGGGTTTGCCTGCGCTGCCAATTTCAAAGCCTTGCAGATCGTGCACCTGCAGGACACCAGCATCAACCTTGTAGGGAAGTGTATCTCCCGTGCTCCCCGAACTGACGTGCGCATACGCACGGGGATGGCTTGCTGCATACTCTGTATGCAACCACGGCAATTCAGAAAGTGAGTTACTGCGGACTTATCTCTGCAGATTTGGACGTTGCGCTTATTGCGGAAAAAGGCCGTTCGCCGGCCTGCACGTCCATCGTCAGCTGATTGAATATGGAGACCTCAGGTCTGCCCGCGCGTGGAAGACTTGCATGCATGCGTTCCCACGGAAGCGACTCATAGATGTATATACGTTTGTCATTAAGACAGGGGGCGGCTCAACACAGGGGGCAATTCTACAGATTAATCCACGGGGCACATAATGTTGAATAAGTATGACGTCAGATACCGCACGCGCAGGTCTCACTGTGCAGGTGCCTCTGTCGCACGTCAAGCTGGCGCGCCTCCACACGCCGGCACGGCTACTCACGTGCCATGGAACAACGACGGCACTCCAGAGAGTGAGTTTCTGTGGATCTACCTGCACAAATCCGAAGTTCGCTTCTTAGCGAATGAGGGCACTTGCGCGGGCGGCGCGCACTGACGTCACTGGTCAGTTCTGAGTTTCGAAGCATCATGCCCAACAGAACATCGCGGGATACTAAACCGCAAACCATAAACCGAGGTCTTCAGCGGTGAACCCTGTCGCACGGTCATCGAGCCCTGGGGCTGTATCCCTAGATCGTATACATCAAATTTTGAGCCCGAAAGCTCGAGCGCGACCCCCCGACCGTTATGATTGAGAGTCCGTCGATTTGCTAATCGCGAAATTCTCAGCAGAAGCGGCTGACACGCGCGTCACCAGACGTCGTCAACGACGGCAGTGGGGCTGGTACAATCCTACACTTGCTTGCAAAATATACAGCTTTCTATATCGCCCGGGCC